GTTTCTCTTTTTACTCTCTGAATGTACTAAATGTTTTCCTGCCACAAAGCCTTTGCCTGGTCTTCTGCCCCAAACATATTTCTTTGATTTTCTTATAATTCATTTATTTTCATTTAATCATAGCTGAAACATCCTCCCTTGAGGTAGCTTCCACTAGCACACACTTCTTAATATTGTACCTCAACTCATTCTGTTTTGTTTTCATTATGGCATTTGCAAAACATAGTCATCGTATTTCTTTCTTTATTTTTCTGTGCTGATTTCTAGAATGCAGAAGCCATGAAAAGAGATTTGAATTGCTTTATAAACCACTTTAACCTCAGTGTGTTGAGCAGAACCAGGTTCATAGTAGGTGTTCAGTAAGTATTTGTCAAATGAATGAATTAACTATTGAAATATTTTAAGTATAACATTTCAAAGAAAAATCCCTATTTACTTGTTAGTGACATTACTTGCAGAGGGTACACAGTAGAAAATGAGGTACAGTGACAGAACCAGAATAAAATCCTCTTTGTCCTAATATTAAAAAAAAAAAAAAAAAAAAAACCTCACTGCCATCTAGTTTATATTGACTCATAGAGACCCTCATTGGGTTTCCAAGGCTGTAAATCTTTGCAGACACAGATTACCCTTTCTTCCATGAAGTAGCTGGTAGGTTCAAACCTCCAACCTTTTGATAAGCAGCCATATGCCTTAACTACTACACCACCAGAGAGCCTCCTTGCTCTAATACCAAAATATATATATATTATTTTGCTGATAAATATGGTTGGCTTTTTCCCATATTCTAATTGTATGGGGGAAAAAAAGAGAAAAATTACATTTTGCATTAGACTCTGGTAAAAATGCACTTAATATCCATTACAATTGTTGTGCCACTGAGGTGGCTCCAGCTCATAGCAACCCTGTGTACAACAGAATGAAACACTGCCTGTACGTGCACCATCCTTACAATTCATGCTATGCTTGAGCCCATCATCACAGCCACTGAGTCAATCCATCTTATTGAGGGTTTTCCCCTTCTTTACTGACACTCTACCTTCCCAAGCATGACATCTTTCTCCAAGGACTGGTCCCTTCTAATAACATGACCAAAGTATCTGAGACAAAGTCTGGCCATTCTCACTTCTAAAAAGCATTCCAGCTGCAATTCTTCCAGGACAGATATATTTGTTCTTCTGGCAGTTCATGGTATTTTCAATGTGCTTTGGCAACACCACAATTCAAATGCATCAGTTCTTCTCTGATCTTCTTTATTCATTGTCCAGCTTTCACATTCATATGAAGCTATTGAAAATACCATGACTTGAATCAGATACACCTTAGTCTTCAAAGTGACATCTTTGATCTTAACACTTTAAAGACGTCTTTTGCAGCAGATTTGCCCCGTGCAATACTATGTCTGATTTCTTGATTGCTACTTCTGTGGTCATCAATTGTGAATCCAATTAAAATGAAATTGCTACCCATTACAATAGAAATGAAATAACTTTATCCAAACATTGACAAATGATTACCAAAATCTGAAATATGCCCCTACATCAACTTTTTACCTTGACCCATTCTACTCTCAAATTAATAAAATTTCACTTACCAAAGAAATTTTTCTGAACCTTTTCAGACCTAATACTGTAATGAGTCCTATTAATGGCACTTTGATATAGCACAGTACAATACATATCACCATCAGGGCACACAGACACATTAGCTGCAGTCAGAAGTCTGGCAAAATGAAAACTTTCTCTTCATTTCCAGGAGAGCTGGTTTAGGAAAGAGTATGTTCTCAGATATTAACTGTGAATATCTTAGAGACACGTCTAAGTGTATGAAATATGACTTTCTGCTAGATTCTTAAAAAAAAAAAAGAAACCTAAATTTGAAATGAATCATTCTAGTAGAATTTAAAAAGGTAGACCTCAAAGTTAGTATTTTATTTGATATTCTCTTGTAGCCCTAGAATGAAACATAAGCATGAATAATTGAAGATCTTCA